AACGGATTGCAATTATGGAATTGTCAGAAATGGCAAAATTCACCTGTTTGATCAGGGATAAGACAGCAAGTACTTTTATCAGAGATTGGAAACTTCTTATGGACTTTTTGCTGCAAATGGAAAAAAAAATGAACTGGCGATTTTTGGATTTGCTGATTGAAAAGGGTTGAATATGGGAAGAAAAGATGTAATTTTAATGAGGAAAAATGAGGATAAGATTCTTTGTAACTGCTGTAAAGAAGATGGGAAGTTGCTTCTTTATATATATTTTCTTTTTTCTATTTGTATTTCTACACTCTATTTTCTTCACATTTTTCTTTTTCTTTTTCCTTGTCTTTATTCTTACTCTATATTATTTCATGTTTATCTTTGATTGTGGAGTCCTTGGGGTTCTTTGAGCTTGGTTGTTTTCTTGCAGATGTTTCGTTACCCCACTAGGTAACATCATCACTGAAGAATTTACCTAGTCGGGTAACGAAACGTCTGCATGAAAAGAATCAAGCGCAGAGAACCCCAAAAATGCCACAGTTCAACCCTGAGCTACGTATATTCTCTTCTATTTAGCTTTTATTTCTATTAAAAATTTTCAATTAAAATTTAAGTATTTTTTTAAAAAAACCATTTGGAGCTTCTTTATTTTTCCATTTCTGTGCATATAATAATCTTGCTGCAGTGATCATGTACAATAATAAGACACCCTGCTTTTTATTCAGTTCTTCTTCTATAAACCTTAATAAGTACAGTTCAGGTTTCCTCTGAAAAGGGATCCCTATTATTTTCACCAGTGTTCTATGGATTACCAGCCAAAAATTTTTGGCCACTTCACAAGTCCACCATGTATGATAATAGCTTCCATCCACTTTTCCACATTTCCAACATCATATTACACTACTCCTATTTAGGATACCATAAAATCAATGTGATTTTTATGACTGAGGTAAATCCCATGGATTTCGGTGGGCTTAATGTAACCTGAACTCATCCCATAGGCCTCAGTCCAAAAAATAATAGCACTTAAGTACGTAAATGGAAACTAATGAGAAATGTCAGCCGTAACTAACATATTTTGTAGATTTAACAGGACTTAAAAGTAGTCTCAAGTTCTACTTTTTCTAGGACCCAGCATCCCTTCTACCAAATACATAAACTGCCTTATATCAGGTCAATATATTTGTCTTTCCAACATTACTATAGACTCTGCCAGATAGTGGATTCTCCAGGGGAAACTACTTGTTACCCATGTGACAAAGTTTAAACAATCTCTCTGAAAAGGCTAGCACTATACCTAACACCACCATTATTTGAAGGGGAGTGCATTGCATTCCAAGGAGGAATGAAGAGCAAAGGCAGGTAACTGAACAATGAGGAAACTGGCTGAAGTAATTTTAAAAAATTGGCATCACCCAATTCATCAGCATTGTGTACAGCCAATTCCTGATTAGCAACCAACAAACTATAAAATAGACATAAAAGGAAAACCTTGGTGGAGGATTCCTGTTCTGGATGGAGTTTCTCCCCATTCTCTCAAACTCTCATGTTGCTGGGAAAATGAGAAAGAACGGGGGAAAAAAATAAGGGTAGGAGTGCATGGAATTGTTGGGCACCTATCTTGTTACATCAATTAAAGCTTTATTGTTGCTAAAACTGAGGGTGCTTTCTCCTCCACTTGTCTAATGGGAAAGTTAGGGAAAGGAGCCCCATAGAATGTTGTGTACAGGTTCTCCTTTAATAATTCCCTGCCTCCTTACCAAAGCTGTGCAAAAAATAAGTTTTTTCAGGACACTCAATTGCAGTCATGAACTGTTGATCAAGGCAACTTGGAAAAGTTTAAAGAGGAGAGTGAAGGTCTATAAGTGGAACTTACAACAAGCAGCCAGTTAGATTTTTAAAAGGAAAATTGTATAACACCTGAATCTTCCCTCTCTTTCTCTTTTAAAATGGTGAGGCCCAGCACTGAAAATGACCCATGTTAAGCAAATGATATGCAAATTCAGGATGACTATCAATATGACTGCACTGTCCAGAAGCATGTTAAAGCTGAATTTGAAGGAGACATTATTGGGTACAATTATTAGGAATTAGGAATTTGAAGGAGACATTATTGGGTACAACCCCACATTATATACAAAAATATGAAGTTATTCCAAGCTATCCATATTTATACCCTTGCTAAGAACTACTGTTCCCAGAACATCTCATGGTCCTCATGTGAAACCTATGGCCAGGAAGCCATAATACAGATGGACCATGGAACAGACTGGCTCCATCTGGCAAAGGGCTGTATACTCTTCCCATATTTATTGAACCTGCAAGCTGAATCCATATTGAGAAAAGCTGGATTGGAAGAAGATTAGCATGTTTTTAAAACTGAAAGAAGAAATGTCAATAACTTGCACTACGCCAATGACACTACCCTGATAGCTGAAAATGCAAATGACCTGGAAGCTCTAATAATGAAACTCAAGGAACACAGTGAAAAAATAGGAGTAAGATAAATTTAAACAAGACCAAACTAATGACACAAGGCTGTATATTCTCCCCTTATTTCAATTATATGCCAAATATATATTAAGGGAAGCTAGATTGAAAGAATATGAGAATGGTTTTAAAACTGGAGGAAGAAACATCAATAACCTGCACTATGCTGATGACACTACTTTCATAGCTGGAAATGCAAATACTACTAATAAAAGTCATGGAGCATAGTGAAAAAAATCGGACCAAAATTAAATATAAAGAAGACCTAACTAATAACAACAGATATAACAACCAGCCTTAGAATTGATAATGAATTTATCAAAGTGGTAGATAGCTTCTGCCTTTAGGATCAACCATCAACAGTGAAGGAACAAGCAGTCGAAATACACCGCAGACTAGTATTTGGTAGAGCAGCCATGAAGGCCTTGGAAAAGATATTCAGATGCCATGATATGTCTATATGTACAAAGATCAGAACAGTACAAGTAATGGTATTCCCTGTGATACTCTATGGAAGTGAAAGGTGGACTTTGAAATCAATCCAGAGTTTTCAATCAAGGTACAAATGACCAGGCGCAAATTATCATACTTGGGACACAGTATACACAGATCTAGCTTTCTGGAGACGTCTATAATGCTGGGAAAAGTGGAAGGAAAGAGAAAAAGACAACAAGCAGCCACCAGGTGGATGGACTCAATTCTAGCAGTGATGGGTGAGCCACTGGAAGACCTGAAGGATCAGGTTGGGAACAGATGGTGCTGGAGAAAATCGATCTACATGGCTGCTAAGAATCAACACCAACTTGATGGCACATGATCAATCAAGAACCACTGTATTGCACTGTACACTAAGTATACATCAAAAGGATTTATTTACAATTTAAATACTTTTGTGCTTCCTCTTAGAAGTGTGATTTATTAAAAATATATGCCAAGATACTGAAGTTACGCAGAATTATGTGTTATCAGCATAAATCGATTCATCTTCACAGAATTCAGCTCAATTGACTTTCACAGAATTTCCTGCTAAGGATGTACTGACATGCACTAGTCATCAGCTAATATCTATGTAAGCTTTTTCATGTTCCTCTAACCAGCATTAATTAAACATGTATATATCTGAAGCACACACATTCAGAGCTGTTGCTTTTGGACCTACATTTCTGCAGATTCACTGTTTACTTAATTTATTGTAGCCTTGAGGTTTTTTTTTCTTGTTCCAGTGTGTCCATACTAGCTGTGGTCTATATACAAACTGGATTTAAAATTTGTATATCAGAATACACATGCACAGTGCAGGAGATGAGTTGAAAGTCAAAAGTAGGGAGGAGTTCCTGGTACAATCTATTCATCTGAAAGGAAGAAACACTGAATATTAAAACAACCTTTCCAGCCACCCACAAAAAGAGATTTGGGAAGAAAAAAAACCCTGCTTCCATTACTGGATCTTCATCAGCTCTAATAGAATTGTCCCATCTTAAAAGTAAAGGCTTTGGAGGAAAACCTGGTCTTTGCTTTGATGAATATACTGTAAAGCTGTATATGAAAAAGCATGGAAGAGGTATTGTGAAAAATTGTGTGTGGGGGGGAAGATACAGGCAAAGAAGAGCAATGGCTTCTGTCAACAAGTAAATAGAACTCACTTATCTTCAGTATCTAAATTATATTTTCAATTTAAAGAAATGTAAGAGCCAAAAGACTTTGAGAAAAGAACTCTGTTAACAAAATAAAAAACCAATAGCTGCTGGATTATTTGCTATCGTCACCTGTTTTGTTTTTGCTAAGATCTGGTTTCTGTTTCATTCATGGCCAACATTTTGGAAAAACTTGAATGCCTGCTGTAGCTGAAAGACTTGAAATGAGTGTACTTCTGTGGACAGCCAATGAAAAGACATAATGGGGAAGATCAAATAACCCATTCTGGGTTCTGTGCTCACCTTTCCAGCTTACTTTTGCAATATCCCCTCTTTCCCTTGCCTCTGCAGCAAGTATTCTTCAAATTTATACAGTAACTTTATTGCAGTTATCAACCAGCACAAGATAAATTTAACATTGTCAGATGCAACAGGAAACCACTGCAAGAGAACTTTCAAGTGCCGTACGCTTATTTCCTCTGATTGTTAACGGATACAGAAGTGGTATATTCTTTGGGGTAAGTGTTTTTTAGAGAGATTTTCTAATAGAACTAGCTATGTTTGCTTTCTATATTTTGGAGTAAGCATTCTGCTTTATTTATTTTATCACAGAATAATAGAATTGGGAGGGAGGATAGAGGTCATTTAGTTCAGTCCCCTGCTCATACAGGGTCCACTAGAAGACCTTGTATTTATTTTATATAACTAAAACATATTTTTCTGGCCCCAGATGAGGAATATGATAGCAACAGTGCAGTCATAGCACAGGCAGTAGAGATGCCCTAAGTCATTTGCCTAGAATAATCAAAACCCTGGGGGAAACTTGGATGTATATGGTACTTAAGAAACATATTTTTTCCCATGAGAACTTGATTCAACACACTTCCATATATTTCAGTTACACAATTTGTTCCGCTTGTGGATTTTGCTTGATAACATTACAAGGGTGCTATTCAAATGGAGAAGGATACAGAGGCTGGGTGACTGTACAGACCTGCAGAACAGACATGATGGGAAATAGGGTAAGTGCCGTACATTTGCTATTGGGAGTTTAAGGTGGCTTTCAGTAAAGACTGCCAATAGTTACCTATACTTTGTACATCCTTTTGTTTACTACCTTCAGAATCCTAGGCAGCATATCTTAAACAGCAGCTGCTGGGGTGCAACAGTAGAAGAGACACCCTTCTGTCTGTGCTTGAGAGCTTTGCAAATGTATCCAGCTGGTCATTTTGCAGAGAGTGCAGGACTAGTCAACTGGCCTGAACCAGTAGGGCTCAAAATGCCAAGTTCAGGCTTGAGCTGTAAAGATATGGTATGTCAAAATGTGATAGGAAGCATTCAGTTTTTGTCATTCACTTAAATATCTCGAACAATTTTACATACTCTTTGGTATTGTCATTTCCTCAAGCTCCATACATACTGATAACATTAATGCAGCATTTTACCCAGCTGGGAAGGCAAAAATAGATAAATCTCTCAACAAGACACTGTCGTTCAACAGTAACCTTAGAGCACCTAGTCCTGATGCCATTAAACCAGAACAGGCCAGGTCTTTGTTCTTGAATGTACATACACACTTAAGCAGCTTATCAGGTAGGAACCAGCTAGCAAAATACTGGATAATATCTAATCTCCTTTAAAGAAAATGGTGACACAATAGCTTGCAACAAGAAAACTAACTGAAAAACAGCTGGGCTACTTCAGTTAAAGGTTAGAAAATTGATGAGTGTTAGGCAGGTTTCTCCAAATCTCTTTAAACTGCTTCACATGAATTATATTGCTTCTCTCTTCTCATCCTGCAAATCTACAATTTTCAACTCTGGTTTTTCAGATTCTCTTATTATTTTAAAAAGAATGTAAATCAAAAATGTTATATCTGAAATATGCACCATTTTAAAAATATTTTATATACACACAAAGACATCGCTCCAAATTGCATCATCAAGCCTATTAAGGCTTCTTCAAAGGAACCTAAATAAATTCCTAACTGAAGCCATGGCCTTTTTTCCCTCTCTCACTTTCCCTAATGCATTGAAATTTTAACAGACAGACATACAGCTTCATATGTGGAACAGCAAGGAAGTCAGAGCCTGCCTTACCCATACTGTAGAAACATTTATTTGATTGAGTGACTACATGCCATCAAGTTGTTATTGACTCTCAGCAATCACACAGATTTTCTCTATGACGATCTGTCCCTAATCTGGTCTTTCAGGTCTTCCAATGGTGCACACTTATTGCCATTGTAACTGCGTCCATCCACCTTTCTGCTTTTCGTCACCTTCTTCTCTTTCCTATCTTTCCCAGCATTAAGGCTTTCTCCAGAGAGCTAGGTCTTCGCATAATGTGTCTGAAGTAGGATAATTTGAGCCTGGTCATTTGTGCCTTCAGTGAGAACTCTGGGTTGATTTGTTCAGTGATCCATTTGTTTGTTTTCTTGACTGTCCATGGAGTCTTCTCCAACCCCAAAGTTCAAAAGCATCAATACTCTTCCTATCCTACTACTTCAGAGTCCAACTTCCACTTCCATAGAGTGTCACAGGGAACACCATGGCTTGCATGCTTCTGATCTTTGTAGATTTAGATTTTAGATTTTTTTATCCTGCCTTTCTTATTTTTATAAATAATTCATACCCATGGAAATATACCTACAATTCTTAAATATTATGCTGTTACAACTGACAGTGCAAATAATCAAAATCCCAACAAAAGGATTTGCTTAAAAAATTTGGGAATCCAGCAAGAGCACATTAACAAAATCATACTTCAGAAACTCTATTCAGGTATGTTAATTTATTTTTTCTACAGTGGAAGAAAATTCAGAGCAACTTTTATGAGTCAGTTTTTCTTTTTTATATTTTAAAGGTAGAACTAGAGTTTTATGGTGGGTGTTTTTTTTGGAATAAATAAACCTAAAATAGGCTGTAATAATGCCATACAAATCAAGCTCAGTCTCTTATTACTCTGCAAGCAGGTAATGAAACAAACAGAGTGAGTTTAGACAGAGTTGCCCAATGGCTCATTTGTGCTTTGTATAATGCGGGGATAGGCAAACTTACTTTTCTGTTGTCCTGTTTTGAAATATACTGGGTTTTGCAATCTCACACTGGGTGAAACCTGCTAAAAACGAACAGGGCCATGGCAGAAAGGGGACAGAAACATGGTGAAAAACAGGTGGAACCGATGATCAGTTGTGGTAGTTCTCTGCCAAGCCACTAGGAATATTATTCACGCTCATTGCTAGCATATGCCAGTCATAGCATTCTATATTAAGCAGAATATAATTACTATTAAAGTTTGTAAGAGTATCATTACTTATTACCCCGATTAACCAGTACTTAGCAGTGTATAATTACTGTTAGTATCATGACTACCACTCATAATTATCATTGCCAATCAGTGCTGTTGTTGCTGTTATAAAAATAATACAATTGTTAATACTTTTATATTGAAAAATGAAGCATTGTTTAACGCTACTGCTAATCATTTTTCAAAGCAAAATAGTTTTCATTTTGGCTGAAGTTAAATCAGCAACTTTGAAAAGCATTCTCTATGTGCTTCCTTATCAACAATGGTTCGCTGTGTTTGCAAGCTGATATTTCCATAGAGAGCGTCCCTGACTGGATGCTTGCCTGTCGTTTGCTACAGTAAGAAGCGAACGGGGAAGATAGGAGTGATTTGCTGTGTCCAGGAGCTCCATGTAGAAATCACCAGAGTCTGTTCCATGGTAAGTCTGTTTGGGCAGGTGCAGGATTGGGAACCTGGCTTTTGGGAACCTGGCTTTTTTCCAGGTTTAAAAAGGGGTCTTGTCTTTGCCATCAAAGAAAAGTCCAAGAAAAGCAATTTTGGAACTTAAATGCTACCTAATGTGACAGCAGGACGCAGCAGCAATCCAAGAACATCATTTGTTGGGCACTGAAACCCAGAAGTTGCCCCCCAGAACAGCTACAACTTGTAAATAATTGTACACATAGTTTTGGGCTGCACAAGTGTCTTAGGAACTGTGTGCAACCCACATGTCGTCAGCTTCCCATTTTCTGCAAAACAAAACAGCATTAGTCAAGGGTAGAGTAACCTCCTTATTTAGGGATATAAGGATTCCTGTACTTCTTGGAGAATACTAGCATTTCCCAAATGGCACTTTCTACATGAATTGGCTACAAAACCCCATCATCCTTAGCAAGCACCAATTAATAAAGGCTACTAACATTCTTAATCCTTTGTATGTATAATTTAATCAATATTTATATGTATAGTTTAATCAATATATCTTTTCAAAACTTAATGAGAGTCTTACCACAGATAACTAGTTTATGGTGCACGTTAAGTTAAAAAATGAAGGTTGCTTTGTGTACGTGGAGCTTTGGCTAATCCAGGACCTCAAGGTAGGTTAGATGAAAAGGAAAGTAAAATAAGGAGGGGAATTGGAATCACTCTAATATTGTATCATATAGTTTCTATCCAAAAGAATATCTCATGTAGATTTAAAACTATCAGGATCTTTGCCATTTAACTACTCTCAAAAAAACATGGGAAAATGAATGAGGAAGAGAAGGGGAAAAACAAAATCAAAAAAGCAAGCTAGTAAGGAAGGTTGAGTTATTCATACTTGGAGTCATCTTCATTTAATTTTGCCTTCAAAAATTATATGGAAGGGATGCTGTCTTAAAAAAGGTATAAAGAAATTAGGAAATTGTGAGCAATCCTTTGTGGTGAACTTAAAAATTGCACAATTCTTTGCAACTTCTTATTTGCCCCTAAAAAAAGGATCTCCTAACTAATTTTTCTTGACTATTTTTTCTCCAGTGGACTGATAAAAACTACCTGTACATATTGTCTATCTTGAACTGTAATTACAGGTAGTCCTCGGTTAACAGCAGCAATTGGGACCAGAATTGTAAAATGCGACATCACATGACCGTGCCACTTGGCAACAGCAAATCTGGGAGTCTCAATTGCCACTGTTATGTGAGCACCTCACGTAACCATGACCTCTGACTTCCTGCCAGCTTCCCCATTGACTTTGCTTGTAAGCTGGCAGTGAATGTTGGAAATCACAAACGTGTGTCCATGGCTCACTGCAACACTGCAATCGCAAGCCAGGTGCTGAGAGAACAGATTGCGATCACGGGACTGTGGTGATGCTGCAACGGCCGGAACTCTGAGAACCGGTTATAACTGCCACTTGTTCAGTGCCATTGTAAGTTGGAATGGTTGCTGAACAACTGGTTGTTAACTGAGAACTACCTGTAATGAGAAATGAACTTTCTGTATTTATCCTGAAGTATCAGCATGTCCCCACCCAAAGGTTCATGCTATGTGGTAGTAGCAGTTTTGTGTCCATTAGCAGCCATGCAACAATGAAAGTTTCTAGCTTTCAGAAGCCTAAAGCATAGAGTTGACCAGTTTGGCTTCACACAGGATGCGGCAGCGTCTGTCATCTCAGTTCTGGGACTGAGGTCTCAGAAGCTTAATATCCTGGGCAGCCAGGACATGGAACCCAGATGACCTCACACAAGATCAACCATTCTGTAAATAGTACAAGCAGACTGAACCCTGTCTTCAGATGAGATGAAAAATATATGCACAATTTCTATTATTATGGTTGGTTGCACAATCAGCCAGATGTTTAGCATTTTTTTTCACCTATCGAGTCCTTCCCAAGGACCTGGGATAGGCAGATGTTGTTTGATGTTGTTAAAGGTATCATTGCAGGATAGAAGCTGTTCCAAGTAAAGCTGCCTTTTGCAATTGACGGATGGTGATTTTGTCAATGCCGATGGTGTTCAGGTGGTGCTCCAGATGTTTTGGGATTGCACCCAAGGCGCCTATTACTAGTGGTATTATTTTTGCTTTCTTTTGCCACAGTTGTTCTACTTCTATTTGCAGATCTTTGTATTTTGTGATTTTCTCCAGTTCTTTCTCTTCTATTCTGCTGTCTCCAGGTATTGCAATGTCCACTGCTGTACGGCCAAGGCGGATAAAAAGATGAGAGAGGCCTGTAATTTTCATCATAGGTATACCTCAACTATGAGAGACAGGTGCTCCAGATGTTTTGGGATTGCACCCAAGGCGCCTATTACTAGTGGTATTATTTTTGCTTTCTTTTGCCACAGTTGTTCTACTTCTATTTGCAGATCTTTGTATTTTGTGATTTTCTCCAGTTCTTTCTCTTCTATTCTGCTGTTTCTAGGTATTGCAATGTCCACTCGC